TAGCCTTTGCAATAAGGCCTGAACACACATGATGCTCCTACAGTATTGGTGGGGGAACAAATATAGCTACTACTGGTGATAAAAGATGTGTGAGATCAGTGTTTTACTTGTGTTATTCATGACTTGTTCCTTCAGTAGTTCACAAAGATTTACATAATTAACAGATATAGTGACTCCTTGGATAAAAGATGCATCATGATTCAATAACGATGTACAAATATGAGATCAGTATTTAACTTGTATTATTCATGACTTGTTCTTTCAGTAGTTTTTTATTTATTTATTATTAGTACCATCATCCCATCACTATTTATTACTTCTCCCTATACTTTCATCTGTAACTGTAATGTATGTGTAACTGTATGTTGTATGGTGCTATGGTGCTACTAGAAACTGAATTTCCCAGAGGAACCTTCCCGAGGGATTAATAAAGTTATCTACCTACCTAGTTCCTTCAGTAGTTCACAAAGGTAGTTTACAAACAGATATAGTAACAAATATAGTAACTGCTTGAGATAAAACATGATTGGCTAATGATGAATTAATGAGATCAGTATATAACAGACAATTTGTGGTTAATTAATAAATAAGTAGTACCATAATGCTATATTATTTTTGCCCTATCAAGTAAAGTGTTACCCTTGTTCTTTTTATTTTCTTTAGTATGTATACAGCATTTTCAGCTTTTTTTCAGAACTATAACCTTTCCTGATTGCAAGACTGTATCTAAGTCTCAGCTATTAAGCAACAAATGTTTGCTGATCCTTTTAAAGGAGCTTGTTCAAGGATATCTTCACATACAAGCCAATTTCCTTAACAACTGTAATACCTAGAAAGAAGCTATGCAGGAACAACAATAATATTGCTGTTAATTTTATTAAGCTGGTATTGCACACCTAAAAAATTTAAGATATTTAAGTATATTTCTGATACTTTCTCACTGGTAATAATGACACAAAGCTGATTGATACATCTGAACACATAATATAGAGTAGGAGACAGATTTGCGAGTGCCCTTTATTAAGAAGAATATTCTTCTTTGCTCTATAAAACAGTTGTCTTCCTCATCTACACCTTCACCTCTAATACTAAAAGTTTAACTAAAAGTTTAACAGACTACAGATACTTAACAGGATTACAATAAAAAAGATGTAGAAGTTCAGCAATACAGACTCAGTAGGTTGTATAGCTTTATATAAATTGTACAGATCATGGCCTGAGCTATATGCAGGTAATTAACAAAATGAAAAATTAAATAAGAGTGGCTCAGCTGCTTGCAAAGCATATCATGGTAACGTGTTACTTAAGGAGACATGAATAATGTAGTAGTACATGCTTACTTAATGCATTAATTAACCATTAGTTAAGTTTTTGTTAAGTACTGATCCCATGTTCATTCATCATTATTCAATCATGATAGTTCATGTATTTCACGATTTGTTCTAGTACATGAGTTCATATTTGCCTCAAGTGAAGTCTTAACATTATTAACTAATTAGTTAACTGTTAACTAATATGTCTGACTGGAATACATGAACTGTCATGATTGATTAATGATGAACAAGCATTAGTTACTGGTTAATTAATGCATTAAGCAAGTGTGTACTGCTACATTATTCATGTCCCCTGAAGTAAAGTGTGACCCATATCATAGTTGTTTCTAGTAAAAAATAAAAAAATAAAAATCAACATTTAAATAACACAATATATATTTATGTGGCTTCTAGTTTGGTAAAAGCTTAAACCAAAAGTTGTACTCATGCTTAGTCCCTTCCGAATGATTCCAACAATTCTTGGTTTATACTTGGTTTAAACCTTGAAAGAAACGTATTGCTCATGTGATTGGAGAGCTATGGAAGTAGATGCTGCCTTCCAGGGCTCTGTTAGAAACTCATCTCAGTTGTGCTATGTCATGGACTGTGTCATAGACTGAACTAATAAAGAAGTGCAACAGCACAACAGAGTGAAGTTGAGTGATATTCATATGGTATTCATATGTTCTGTTATACTCCTTAAAGCTTTATAAATAATATAGACTTTAGTATATTTGTAATCATACATATAAAATTTAAATTAAACATGTGTTTTACAGTATTGCAAGTCTACTAAAGCTCTCAGGCAATGTTTAGATTGTTATAAGAACACTGCTCAGAAGCAAAACCAAAAGTTTTTTATATTTATGTAATCGATGATGTGAGAATTTTGCCGGCTGTTCTGTCTCTGTTTTCTCGGTGTCTTGGTAACTCCCACTTGAACTGACAGACGTTGAGGTGTCTCTGTAGGCCAGGCGTGGTGGAAAGTGCTTTTTCACATTTTCTGGTCACCGGTGCCTAAACGCTTCCCTTAAGCTTAGCCAGAATCTTCTTCCTCCTTTTCCGGGAGTAAAAAAGGCAGTGAGTTTTAGTGAGATGGAATTACCCAGGTCTCCGGAAGCTGGAAGATGGAGGGCAAGTTACTGTAGCATGAGGCTGTTCCCTCCTTCTGTTTTTTCTAGACAATCCAGTTGTTCTGGTGACCTGTTGCAAACATAGAAATTGAAGACTGTTTAAAAGCATCATTATAAAACAAATTGTAATCATGGAAGGAACAAAATTTTGCAACAAGTAAAGGATCTTAGAGGATGCCTCTGAAAGAACGCATGCGAGCTCTCCACAGTAGTGTCTCACTTTGGCCTCTATGCAGAAGCTTAACATGGGTTTGCAGCTGGCTGTGCAGAATGTGACAGAGTCCTCCATCTCCCTCTACAGAAGCTGCTGCAGCTGGAGTCAGTGTGATCTCTGCAGCGGCACCGCTGAGGCCCAAATGACTGCTGGCTGTACGCCACGCCCCGGCCGGAGCGACGGATGCGCTGCAGGCCTCTGTAGCTGGACTCGCCGTAGGGAACCGTGCGCCTGCAGATAAATATGGAGACAAATGTAAGCAGAGCATAAACAGTGGGGTGCTACAGTACTGCAAAGGGTTAAAGGATCCACTTTGGGATTAATACTGAGTGGTACTGAATTAAACAGTAGTGTCCACAGGAGCTGGTGCCCAAAATCCATGGATAGGTATGCCGGTTCTAACAAAAAAGCCAGACCTGAATTAGTTAATACCCATGTATGCAGTGTGAAACAGAAAAATATGTACGTCATTATATATGCAGCTGTCAACTAAGGACATACTGCCAAACAGTCACGATTTGAGGAACGACAGACTCAAGGGCAGGTGTTGTGGCGAAACAAAAGGGGGATTATTGAACTGCAAGAACACAGATTGGAAATAAACAAGATCACAAGGAATCAAAAATGGGAGGAGTGGAGCAAGGAAGGGCACAGGCGACACGAGGGTTCAACGTCAATGACCGGACTGGGGATGACAAGACAAACAGGGACTTATATACAAGGACTAACAAGGGACAACGAGCACCAGGTGTGATTCGTCAGGGCCACGTTAGGGAGGAGACCAGGAGGTCAGGCGTGCAGGACGTGACAGAAACAATAAAATATCATTGAAAAAAGGATTAAATCGCAATCTTGTTTTATTGAACATATGTTCTGAGGTTTTAGTCAATATGAAATTCCTTCTCAATGGTCCCCTCCATCTCATAAATTCCTTCCCAAGAAGATACTGGCAGTGCTGTCACCACGTGTTTCTGAGGGAAGCATCCAGGCTTGGGCAGACCCTGTTATACAATTTAGTCTTTCTCAGATCTCTTTCTGCCAAGTGCTCCATCTCGACTGGGGCCACTAATGCTCAGCCTCGACGTTATGAGTATATGGTGCAATAAAAAGACCACAAGAATTCAAGTCAGACTCTTTCAATTTATTTATTTTTTCTAACTGGGGCTTCCACTGGCCTTTTAGGAATGATGTGGTTAACAACTGGTGGCTATTGAGAAACACACAGAGTCCAGTGGCTTCTGTCCTGCAGAGCACATGGGGAATGCATGCCAGACACTCAGATGTAGGAGAGGAAACAGGGTAGGACACATGAGTGTGATCTTAGCACTTCATTAGACTCAAAATATTATAGCTTTGCTGTCAACAATAGATTTGGCCTCTGAGAGTAAGCTTGGAGTAGCTGGCATGGCTGAGTTGACCGTTGGATAATGAGCTTCCGTCTTGTCCTGTTCCCATATATGTAAACCAAACATCTTGTATTCATGAATTGCCTTATAATGTCCCGTTATAGAGCTTCCACAGACTGTGCGGTATAGCCAAGCCCTGCAATACCCCTCTGTGTCTCCACAGATTAAAGCCTTCCGCACATCCTTTACAGTCCACCTGGTTTGGCCTCCTTTTTTGCTGCTAGCTGTTTGGTAAACTTTCACATAAACCTTTTACCAAGTACGGTAGTCCAGGTGCATATTGACTTTACTGGCTCTATTGTAACCTTTTGAACTGTATGAATTTATCTGTGAAATACAATGGAGTTTTTATAGATGCCATTTGCTTAACTGCATGCTTGTGGACTGTGGGAGCCACCTGGAGGAAACCTGAGAGATCCAGAGAAGACACACAAGCTCCATACACACAAGCTCCATACACACAAGCTCCATACACACAAGCTCCATACACACAAGCTCCATACATACAAGCTCCATGCACACAAGCTCCATACACACAAGCTCCATACATACAAGCTCCATGCACACAAGCTCCATACACACAAGCTCCATACATACAAGCTCCATACAGTACATACAAGCTCCATACACACAAGCTCCATACACACAAGCTCCATANCACACAAGCTCCATACACACAAGCTCCATACATACAAGCTCCATACAGTACATACAAGCTCCATACACACAAGCTCCATACACACAAGCTCCATACACACACACAGAATTGAAACCCAGAAGATGTGAGGCAACAATACTACCCACTATGACAAACTATTGTTTTTTTTCCCTTAAGCTGTTAAGTCCCTATTCATGCAGCATTGCCCCCTCAAAATTTATTTTTGGTTTATTCTTTTCTTGGGCAAAACCAGATTTAAAAAAAATAATAATTGTTTTTTGTTTGTTTTTTTTTTTATATCCGACCAGAAGCTTTTGATTAGTTCAAATGATTAAGATATTTCATCAGTATTAATGTTGGACAATGCCTGGTTGAATCTGAAATCCCTTTTCACTTTTTGATCCTAAATAATGAAATGATATTTTACATGCTTATTTGTTGCTTAGAGTTTGTCCACTCAAGAGTTGGATGATGTCCACTGGAGGCAGAACATAAAATATTTTTACTAAATATACTGAGGCATTTGAAAAGAAAGAGGCATCTGTAGGAGTTTGAAAAACCTTTTTTTCCCACACGGGGTTTAAGTAGAAACATTATCTTCTTGGCAGGTGAACATTTGTATTAATTGCGTGAAACTGTCTGATAGCAAGTGCAAAAAGGACAGCTGTCACTTAGAACTGCTCAGCATGTGTATACTGTATCACAGGAAAAGGCCAATATGAAGCTGCAGGAACTCATAGATTTCAGTGACTCACATTTAAAGCAAACTTCTGTCATGTCTCGAGCAATACTGCAGGGTGAAGCGTGCAAAATAAAACGACAGAAAAATCATCAGCGATATGGCAGCCACATGTTGACTTTCTTTTAAATAACTCATCTCTGCAGTCATTTTCCATCCCTTTCAAATGCTTTTGAAGATGGAAAAAAATATTCCCGATGACAGGGAATATGGATGGAAGCAATCAGACAGGAGTTTTGAATGAGTTGAATGAAACTACTGTTGTCCATGGCACTCAATGAGACAATTAAAAAAACATTTGGTGCATATGAGAAGCATAGGCAGCACAGCAGTACAATGTCAGACACATAAGCACCTCTCACAGAAGTGTGAGGGTACTGTAGATAAACTGGTTCCAAGTTAATTACAAATAAGACTTTCAAAATCGTAATAACAATAAAAAAACCTTTTGGGGGTGATACACATTTTTTGTGTCTGTAATAATGAATTCATATTAATTCATACTCGCAAAGTAACTTTTAATACCTTTTAACTTTTAATAACTTTGTAATTTTTTAATATGATGTTTTTAACTTGAAAAAATGTCAGGTGGCACAACCATGTATTTATAAAATTAGGATATTTTGGAATTATTTGTAATCATATTAGTGTCTGCAATGCATCAAACTTAACATCATTATTTCTGTCACGTCCTGCCTACCTCACCCTCCAGTCTCCTCCCTAGTGTGACCCTAAAAAGCCACGCCTTTTCCATCCCCTTTTCTGTTCATTGCTCCTCAGTCCCTGTCCTGCCTTTGTTACCCTGGCTTGTGTTTGTGGCCCTTTCCGGTACTTCTGTCCTTGTTTCTATGGGGCGCCGTTTGTAAAGTTACGAAACATTTTTGTACTTGCCACTTTTTCAAAATTTAGTGCAGTTTTCTGACATTTAGCTAGAAGTCAATGGTGTTGTGGATCATCATATTTTTTGCTGTGTAGATTATTTGCACAATTGTTCATCATATGTAAATATAAATGGTATGTCTATATATAGATATTAAATGTAAATGTCAAATATAAATGTTAAATGTAAACGTAAATATAAAAGTTAAATGTGAATATAAATGTTAAATATAAATGTTAAATGTTAATGTAGGGTGTAGTTCCACCCCCCAGATACTAGATGGCGTCTATCATCTAATTGTAATTTGATGCAATTAGTAATTATATTAGGTTATGCAGTGCTCCTTGCTCAGTGTTCATGTGTTCTGCACAAAGTAAGGAGTGTTTCTTTTCAGTTTGTGAAAATGTAATATTGTTTTAAGTCTTCCATTGAAATTATGTTCCCAAGATGTTTTATAAGGCAGTAGCATTGTGTTTTATAACATATTGTACTATTCCTTGTGTTTTATTTGCAGTAATTCATTGTTGTAAGTATCGCACTACGGATATGGAGCGGTCATTAGGAAATCTGCTAAAATGTTCTGGTTATTGAGACTTGGTACAGTGTTTATATAAAAGTCTTTTGAATCCGATTGTAGTGTCGAAGGAAAGTGCTGAGTGTTCGTGTGTTCTGCACAAGAAATAAACTGCAGAGGCAGCGGACCAACAAGAAAGCGAACGCTCCCGTGTGCCTGGTCGTCCCTTCGTCTCCAGTAAAAAAAATACACAACGCAGAGTGGCCGTAAACGCGCCAAAGAGGGAGGACGCAGTCCGGTCGACAGATAAGTGCACGGGACAAACAGGGTTACATTAACTTATATCTAAATGTTAAATGTAAAAGTTAAATGTAAATATAAATCTAAATGTTAAATGTGTAACGTGTTGATGGAGGGAAGCCAAGCCACGAAGCTAGTAGTACAACTCCAGTAATGGAATAAAACAGCGAGGCAGGAGACAAAGTGGAGGGATTTCCACATCGCACGTTTATTCTCAGATACGGACCATATGAGCCAGGTCTCACGGCATATAAACTATTATTTTCAGCAAAATAAGAAGAATGCAGAATAATACAAAACGTTCGTGGTCTGTAGCGTTCACCAGCGTCCACATTACTGGAGTCAAGGAAGTCGACTTGGGGTTAAAAGTGATACGCAGTGACAAAATAAAAAGGGGGCGTCACCGTGTGGCGTCAACTGGTAATGCTCTGCTATACTCTGGCTGTTGCATATGTAAAAGTTAAATGTAAATATAAATCTAAATATTAAATGTAAATGTTAAATATAAATATAAATGTTAAATGTAGAGAACATATGCAAATATGCCACGCCCATCTGCATAGAAATGGGCGGTAACGACGAAATTAGCCCGCTAAGTGGTTCGCTTGCAAAACGGCAGGTCCAATCGCGAGGACCGTAATCCATTGAGAATATCGTCACTGCTACGCGTCGCTCGTTCGCATGTCGGTAAATACTGACGCGCGATATGTTTCATGTGATGTTTTTTCACTTTT